CCAAGCCAATCTGCTCATCCGTCTTTGTTGTGATCCGTATCAAGCCGAAGCCGAAGCCACAAGCCGCGATGTGTCTGATCTGTTTCGCTTCTGCCTCTCCCGCCGAAACAGAAATATACGACCGACAATCTTCCTCCCTGCGCCCAAGACTTTTCTGCCCTAGCCCTTTCACGTTGATTTAAATCATTGATTTGGATTTTTTTGGATATTTAGTTTTCTTTTATTTCTTGTTGATATCGATCAACAACAATTCTATTTAGAATATCTTCTGAAATCTTAGCTATCAGATTTACAGAAAAGAATTATGTCGCATGGGAATTTCAGCTCAGAATGTTCTTAAAAGGGAAGAAGTTTTGGGGTCATATTGATGGATCTTCTCCAGCTCCTACTGAGGTAAAAGATCTGGGTCAGTGGGAAGCAAAGAATGCTCAGATTATTTCCTAGATTTTGAGATCTATTGAGGTTCATATGGTGAACAATTTACGATCATTTGGCACAACTAAAGAAATGTGAGAATACTTGAAGCACGTTTACGATCAAGATAATTCTGCGAAACACTTTCAATTGAAACTTAACATAAGTAATTATGGTCAAGGTAATCTTTCAATTGAACAATATTATTCTGGCTTTCTAAATTTATGGAGCGAATATACTGGCATTATCTATGCTGAGGTATCAAAGAAGAACTTAACTAATTTTCAAGCTATTCATGAAAAAAGTCGTCGTGATCAGTTTTTAGTGAAACTCAGACCTCAATTTGAAACTGCTCAAGCTGGGTTGTTGAACATAGATCTAGTTCCTTGTTTGGATGTTTGTTTTGGGCAATTACTGCGCGAAGAACAAAGATTGGCGACACAAACTATTGTCAATACAACATGTGAATCATCAGAAATAATTAATATGGCATATGCTGCTAAGACCAAAGGGAAGTGACCAGTGCAGTGCTAGCTGCAAGAAATTTGGTCATGTTGCGCGGAATTGTTAAAATAAGGTATGCACTTATTGCAAACAAAATGAACATATTCTT